TGTGTGTGTGTGTGTGTGTGTGTGTGTGTGTTGCAGACACCCTTATCTCCACCCCCATGTCCCTGCAGATGTATTAGCAGGAGGGAGGGAACAAAGCCAACAGCCAGCCCATCACTACTCCCCTACTCTATTTGGGCTAGGATGCAAGTGCAGCCTTTGAAGACCACATGATTCCTGGAGTTCACGAGGATTTTTTTTTTTTTTTCAGAAAGAAATAAAGACAGAATATTAGTTGCTAGCTGAGAGACTACTTTTATGATTGCTTTGAAATAAATTAACTGAACACAAAGCCAAATGTATCTCCAAATGCAATGTCCTCCCACACTGGTCATGGGAGCAAAACCTCAGACTTACCTTCACATACTGAACCAGCCGCTCACTGACATTGACTTTATACGTCTCTAAACCCAGCTCCTTAGATAATCGTAAGATCTTGTTCTGTGTGGGTCCTATGTAAGCCCCACCAACATCCACGTAATCAACATGTTCATTCTGTAAAAAGAGAAAAGCAGTCAGAAGACTCTAGTTCAAATGTGAAAAACATTTTTATATCCTTGTTTTGTTTTCTATATCTTATAAAAAAAAATTTTTGTTTTCAGAACTTAAATGTACCTTACATATAACTCTTCTAATGTGAAATTGGAAATAGGAATTCTTTTTCATCAACTCAAGAACAGGGCACAGACCTGTACACATACTTCATTTCACTTAGTAACCCATTTGTATATTATTGGTGAGGCCAACTCAACAATGACATGCAAAAAGGATATCTGAGCTGATCCAGATCCTTTTCAAGTATTTTTGCCAATCATTTCGAAAGGTTATTATCTGTGCTTGTGGGGGAGTAATGACTGGAGGAGCCACCTTGAGATTTATTGGCCCTAATCTCTGATTTTTACCAGATGAAATCTTAAATCAGTCACATAAATGAGTTTTTAATCCAAATTTAAACACTTATAGGGAAGAATGTATCATGGGGAAAGAGTCCACAAAAGTATACAAAGATTCATATATCTGACAAATTATTTACAAATTGCAAACATTCTTTCATAAAATGAAAATGTTTATTTTCCCCCTTTTAAAAGCAACTCTATACTTTTTCCAGCATTTTTTTAGTGACACATTTCCCAGTGATTTAATAAACTGAATACTGGTGAGTTACAACTCCTGTGTGTGTGCGGGATAACTTCTTGTAGGCCTGTCTCTACTTTGTTTAAACTAGTTCTCATTCATGATGCCTTTTCTCCTTATAAAATACACATATAATATGAATTTTAGGAGGAGGGTATCATTCTCAGAGATTTATGCCTCCTCTTCCCAGCACCTGGAAATGCTGAAAATACTAGGTAACTTTATTATATTTTTGTGCCTCAAGTGCTTTGAAGCAGGGCCAAAATGCAACGTGGCCTAGTTCTCTTAGGCCTTAGTCCGAAGATACTGCCCAACCCAAAGCACAAGGAGTTTACCAGTACCTTCCTCTATACACATACATTGGAGGGCTCTGAAGCTGACCCTCAGCTGTCCTAGCTGTGTAAGACTTTTGAAAATACTACTTAGCCTTTTTTGCTTGTTTCTTCAGCAGCAGGCAAACTCCCACCCCTCTACCCCCAATAAATCAATCGTTCCTGATTTTTGCCCAGTGATTCTACACTACCTGGTTATCCAGCTTATGCTTTGAAGGTGTGTGTGTGTGGGGGGTGTGTGGCTGTAGTCACCTTGAGTCCAGCCTAACCATAACCCCATTTGAGACACAAGATGCTCTATCAGGTCTCAAGTATGGAAATTATGATACTGGACTGAAGGTATTTGTTCAATTTACTTTCTTCACTACAATGTAAGGTGCTAAAGGTGAGAAGCTATCATTCTTCACTGAATGTTTGTTGAAGAGTAAAAGAACGAAAACTTATTTCATGGAGTAGATTAAAGCTATGGGAGATGAATGGCTTAACTGCATCAATTTATGAGATTCCCTTTACTTCAATGGCTCCACTTCTAGTTTTTGTGGGATATTATGTCTAAGCATTAACGCCACTTACCCTCACAGTATATGTCCTTCCTCCAACTCTGTCACGAGCTTCTAAGACCAAAACATTAGTGTCATATTCAGCTAAAAGTTTGGCAGCAGACAGTCCTAGAAAGAAAACAAGACAGAGGAACAATTAATGTCTAAACAGGAAACATCCACAATTTCATTTTTTTAATTAATGAAGCACCATTGTTTTATATCTCTCTTAACATTTTGACAATAGAGGATTTCTCCCCTCAGGTGTGGTCATCACATCTCTCCCAACACCAAAGCACCCACAGTCCTCTGCCAGAATGCCTGATGCTCTCCCCTTCACCAAAGTTTTCATCCTTCCCCTTTTCCTTCTCTCTCCCTACTCTCTTGGACACCCAGCTCTATGGTCAGTTTTCAAGGGCTGGTTTTATAGTTTCTCTCTGTTTGACCCTTTGTTTGGGGTCTCTATATTCCACATATAAGGGACCTCATCTGGTATTTATCTTTCTCCTTCTTGCTTATTGCACTCAATATGATCCCTCCCAGCTCCATCCAGGTTGCCACAAATAGCATGAGTTTATCTTTTTGATTGCTGAGTAGTATTTCATTTTGTATATATGCAATTTCTTGATCCACTCATCTGAAACACCCAAAATTTAACTAGATCTGCACATAATACAACATAGACAATCCATTGATTTTGCTATCTTTCTAATCAATTGACTACAATTGAGTCACCAATATAGTATCTATCATAACTGTATATCTATCATCAGATTGTTAGCAGAAACAAAATGTAATTTTGTTTACATGTATGCTTTGGTTTTGGTGATAACCAAATCAAATTTAAGTGAATTTTCTAAGGCCTGAAATCAACCCATATTGTACACTCTTTCAGAAACCCTGACTGTATAAACAGAAGAGTATGGTTTCCTGGAAATTTTCCCTAGCAACACCAAGTTTCAGTATATCTGGTTTTTCTTTTTTCAATTAAAAAAGTCTGTTTAATCACCTCTCATGGTTTATATCTGGATTACAGGTTTGCTAGATTTGGTTTTCTCCACTAGATTCAAAATTACCGAAAGTAGGAACCATGCTCTAAACCATAACATTCAGCCCTGCCAGCTGACTCATTTGAATACAATGTACTGTATATTGCTGACACCCAACGTTCTATATAATCAACAAACCACAAGGAAAGGTATCCCATGACAGCTTAAATTCACATCAATGCCTGCAATACTTGGTACAATGCAGTTGCTGAGACAGAGCCAATGTCTCCTTACGCCGGCTGCAGAAAAATAGGGATGGAGGTATGATGACAAACATGTTTTGCATAAATCTTTTTCTTATGTCTTCATTATTGCTTCAGTTTAGTTTCTTCCCAGGTCCTTTTAATCAATCTAACTATAAACTAATTAAATAAAGAAACATCTATTAGAATTAATCAGGTAGCTCACTTCTAAGAAGGAGAAACTTGCCTTCTGCTCCTAAAGGACAAGCAGCAATGGCTTCTAACTCCTGCAGCAGAGGGACCAGCAACAGTCCTGCGCTCCACCCCACAGCCTCTCACTTGGCATCCTGCTGCAAGTCTTACAGATCAATTACACAAGCCTTTCCTGTTGCCTGTACCAACCATCCCTTGAAGTAAATGCCATTACATATATTCCAGATGAGAACATCAAGTCCCTGATATGACCACAACAAAGTCTTCAGAAAAGTGAAGGGTTTTACTTCTCATTTGGCCTCATAAAAATCTAACCAAATGTGGAAGTTTTAAGCAGCTTGATAAATGGGCTTCAGTGGAAACAAAAACTAAACACCACTGAAGAGGCTAAAGAGAGAGGGGAAGCAGGACTAGCTGAGTCAGTACAATGACCAGTCAGGGACAATGACCACTTTGCAATTTGGCATTTAAGGCTGTAACCAAATGAAATTTAAAAGTTGACAAAGAATGGTTGTTGCTGCATTACAGGGAAACGGTTGTATCCCAAAAAGGGAAGTTTAAACTCTTAGTTTAAGAGAAGAAAACCACTGAAAATATTTCAAGAGGATTTCAGGGAAGAATGGGCTTAAAAGGATCTTGGGATTTGAAGAGGAAAGATTTTATTTAGAAAAGCACTTTTTCTGAGGTGCTGCATGAATAGGATGCTAATGTTTCAGTTTGAGTGTTTATTGTGAAGTTGAATCTGAGAAGAAACTTCTATGGCAATTCAAAGGTTAGTAAATATAGAATATGGAAGCAGGATGCTATTAGAAAAACCGCTACCTATGAATAATAACAAGATTAATTTGAGTAAGTAACTAGCTAGCCATAAATAAAGCACAGAAAATACCGGTGGTCCAGAAAATATTTTCTAATATAACAAACTATTGTTGTCTGTTGAATGGAATGGAAAAAAAAAAAAAAACGAAGATGATGCCTGCTTCAGGTTGTAAGTCCCTAGCTCTTTTTTGTTATCCTGTATGTTTTACTATACATTCTACCCTCCCATCATCACTACACAATTCGATAATCATTCAGAGAAAATCTCCTATCTCAGCTGTCAAGTGCACAGGTCAGGAACTTTTGTCATAATTTTTCAAAAGATTTATTTGGTATTTTTTTTTGTAAATGGGATAAAATATAAGAGGTTTATCAAGACTGAAGGAAAGTCACTAAATATAGCTACTAAAAATTGATTTAAAATCAATTTTTTTATTTTCATATTTGTTATACAAAGAAAAAAATCTCATGTTAAGTGTATTTCAGATTAGCCAAAGCTAAGAACATCGTACATTACAGCTCCTCCTTTCACTTATTTCCTATATATATATATATATACACATGGCTGTATGGAATCTAAAGTAAAAGAAGAAGGCTGCTTTCCATACACCCCTCTAGCATCCTTCCCCTCTTCCAAGTGATTAACAACCATCTCTGAAATCAAGGGAGGAAAAAGATACCTGATTTTCAGTATTTGGAGTTCCATGGTGTCTATTCACTCCCATCATAGTTGATTTCTAATAGTGATTTCAAGTCCAACGAAATGCAGAAAGAGGTGTGAGTGAGCAACATCAGTCCTGATCAGGCAGGAAAGGCTAGATCCAACACATACATACTTCTGATATCAAGATTCCCGACCTCAGGTCCGAGGAGGAGCTGGGAGGAGTAAGGAGGTCGGGGAGGGGCAGAATACCTATTCTGGCAGCAAGTGCATGAGATTCATTGGGTTTAGGGAATCAAGGCCTACTTAGGAAAGGTGCCCTAGACTCTCAAGTGTCCTAGTGTCATAAGTTTATGATTCTCCCACTGCATTGTTTCAGAAAAGGGATATCTAAGTGGGCACTGGCTAAACACAAATAAAAACAAAAAACACTGTGCCCTCCACCTGCACTGAGAACTCCTCCTTCCTCTGATCAATAGGAAAGAGGGAACGCAGGACTCCAGAATGTTCTGTGGTTTTTGATGTGAGTAGACAGCCCAGAGAAGTTACATTCACTGAAAGTCTGTTAGGCCTTGTTGTATAAATAAAGATCTCATCACTTTCACAATGCAAAAGCTTGAAAACAGGAAAAGGACAGATCATGGCCCAGGCAAATCATTAATCACTTTGCATTAAATATTTTAAATGAATATTTTAAATGAGAATGATGAGTTTAAAACAATACAATTCCTCTTCTGATTTCTCCCTTTTCAAACATTTGGGTTTTAAAGAAACACAAATAAAGTTGGTTAATGTATTGGAGAGGTTAAAAAAATTGCCAGTCTGTAAAAAGCACACCTTATTTGTGAATTCAGGCAGTGTTAGTCTGGTTATTATTAAATCAGGGGAGCCTGGGTTAGATAATGTATGCAGCAGCTATCGGTATTACCATGGCAACCTCAAACCAAGCTCCAGCCTCTTAAAGCCACTGCCTGTGGAAACTGTTCCCACAGGTTGTGCAGTAATTCCAACACCTTGAAATGACTGTTGTCCACAGAGAAACTGATAGAAAATGATACAACATACATCAAACACCTGGAGCAGGGGTTAATATTTATTTTAAAAAAAAAAGTCTGCAAGGAAATGGTCCTGTAAGCCTGATATTTGTGGAACCTAGCTTATCCCAGCCTTCTCTACCTTGCCAAAGGCCCTTTCCTTTACCTTACTTCTTCAAGCACATTTGCAATGCTCTATTTAAGAGGAAAAAATCATACACTTGATTCATGTCACCCTGTCCAGTTCAATTTCTGATTTCCCTTCAACAAATGATCTGACTTTCTCATTAGAACAAACCTTGAAATATAGCATATTCCTTACCCCAAAATGTCCAATAACCCCACTGCCAGACAAGCAACAGTCATAATCTGTCACATTCTGTCCCCACTACCCAGCTTTATTGTTTTTTAAAGCATATATCACCACCTGGCACATTATAAATATTTTGTGCCAGATGAATATGTATGTCTATGTGTATGTCTGCCAGATGGTGATGTGTACATCTTTTGTATATTGTAAATTGCTTATATATCCCTCAGTAGAATGAAGCTCCCAGGAACATAGGGCCATAAAGGCAAACTCAGCATGTATAAAGCAGGACACTCAACATTTCCCCACAATTCCTTCTTCTCTTGGCTCGTTGTAATTTAGTAAATGGCCAGTTCTCCAGATCAAAACCCTCAGAGTCATTTTTAGTCCTCGCTTTTTGTCATAAACCACATTCACTCAATGGGCAAATTCTGTTTGTTGTAGCCTCAAAATATGTTCTAGATCTGATCACTTCCTACCACTTCAGCCATAGCTACGCTTGTCCAAGTCATTAGATGGAGATCTGCCTCTTTATTACAATGAAATTTGCAGACACTTTTGCATCCCTTTGTTGCACGTATGCAAATGCTTGTTGCAATAAATAGAAGAACCACTAAGAAAATAAGACCATGCTAGCCTGGATGAGGGGAACAGGGAAGTTTCTTAAGTGTCAGATTATATTTATCTCAAGCAACAAAGGAAGAATAACAAGGATAGGGTGCCAAACCATTTTAACCTTTATGCCTATATAACTCAGCAGATTCTAAATACTACTAGTACATTTTCTGACCTTTAAACAAGCACTGATTTTTGTTAGCAAAAGAAAACCTAAAATAACAGTGTGCACACAAACTCGTCCCT